CTTTAATAATGCAATGTCTTGTGCAATATCCTTCTTTATTTTCTTAACAATGTTTTATGTGTAGCTGTGTGTGTGTGTGCGTGTGTGATTGTCGTTTTTATCAAATGCACTTCTATTATCCACACATTCACACACACATGCGTACAAACTGCCAACACCGTTCGAATGCATATTCCCCATAAACCCACATACATACATGAAAGAGGGCACATTTGTTTACTGGTGTGTGTGTGTGTGTGTGTTTGTACGTGTGTCTGCTAGATTGGACTGATGTGTTCTGCATTCGTTTTCTTATAAAACATTTCTTCTTCTCAGGCAAAAGTTATATTTTTAAAATTGTTTTCATACAAAAATATGTATTCGCACGCACACACACACACCCACCCACACGCTGTACATACATAAATTAGCATGTATGGGACTAGGAGTAAATCACATCAGTGTTTGTACTGTTTGTATGGCTCGTATCACACCTGTTCGCCAACCTTTAATATTTCATTTATTTTCATGAAAGGCTAATGACGTCCTTAGCTGCAGATTATGAGTGCATCTTATTGTAAATTATCGATGCACATACCTACGTACATAAATGTGCATCTATATCGATAAAGGTCCGGTCTTTAAGGATTTTGGATATAATAACATTGAAGGTTTAAAATCGACATTTGATGCTGGTAATTTAAAAAAAGTATCTCCATACATATGTATATCAGAAGAGATTAGGTATCCAAATTAAATCCTGAAATATTCCCTCTTTCATAATTAAAACCATGTTGTTGGCATTCCAAATTCATAGATATAATATCTATCACATATTTAATTAACTTATAGTTGTTGTCCACGATTAAATTCCGAGATGTTTGATTTGTGGCAAAAGAACTACCATGACACCTTTGAAAAATACTGTCGATGCTGATATCTACTACATACATCAAAGTACAGCGAATGTCCAAATTGGGAACCAACTAATCCATTTAAAGATAATGTAAACAAACTATCTTCTGCATCACCAGTAGGTTGAAAATAATGGTTTGTTCTTAAAAAAATACGTTTTGTCCATTAATTTCAACCAAATGGTAATGTATGCATATACATAACCCTTCAACGATTTATTAGACTATTGTTTACTTACCTTTTTACCTTTTCTCATTACCAAGTAATGAGTAACATCGGCGCAGAGTGTGAGCGTCTGACTACAAAATCGACATCGGGAAACGAAGAAAATATGATAAGTTGTTGATGTAGATGTAAGAGTTAAAAGAGCCCTTATGTGTTTAACTACCAATCTGAAGATTCCGAATTCAATACCACCAGTGGACAAAGTGCAAAGGCCAATTGTTGTAAAATGGAATGGATTATTTTAGAAATGAGAGAATCGCATTTTTCTACTTGTGTTTCGACCTAAGCTAAGAAATAAATATTTATTTTGGGTATTATACCCTTCCAAAAAAAATTGGTCTAGTACGGTTTTTTGTAACCAGCTACGACTGCCAAAAATGGCAACTTTAATTTAAAACTAACTACTATTTTTTATAGGATGAGAAAAAATCGTATTTTATGTTATGTTTGGTGGTATCGAATCGATGTTTTGAAATTATTTTATTGAAATAAGTCGCTTGATGTTGAAGAATTTCAGTTAATGGAAGCGGTTTAATAGGCAAATTGTAAGGCTTTCCAAGAAAAAATTATGTTTTAAATTATCAAGATTTATTTACAAGGTGACGCCGTAAATCCAGTTGTTATCTTCTTTTGCTGAGTTTTGCTGAGTTTTTTTGAGTTTTGCCTTCTTAAGGCCAAAATCATATGTTTATGATTTGTGTTTATTTCTCCTTCGAGACGAGCCTAATAATCTGAAATTTGCAGTGTGGAGGAAAGCCAGATAGACACAATCACCACGCGACGCGTTTCGCCGTTGGTTAACCCATTTACGCCGGCTCCCTTATTTGTGGGAGAAAAATGTTGAAACTTAGTGGAGGATGCCACTTATATTCCCCTTTCCCCCCCTTTCTCGTGCAGGGGGTGTTGCGTTTTCGCACCCGTCGGCGTTACTGAGTACAATTTTAGTCCTAGAAAATGTTTTAATAAATTAATAGTATTGTAAAGGAAAATACCGTTCGTTAAACGGCTCATCAGGCGTATTTGGTGTGGATGATGGCTAACAAGGACCGTTCTCTGGAAAGTAGTATTTATTTCGAACTTATTGTGATTAAGCATGTGGGATTAAACACCAGAAACCCTCCAAGTTCGACTCGAGTTCTATTGACCAATCTTTTTCAAAGCAAAGTTTATTTTTGTAGTGATGGATTTTTGTCCACAACAAATACATTGCTTCCAATGCATACACCGGTTTGTTAGCAAATCTTTTTCACAGCCAAGTTTGTTTTTGTAGTGATGGATTTTTTGTCTACAACAACTACATTGCTTCCAATGCATACACCGGTTATAGTACCGCTGTAGGAAGACGGCAACTTCTAGTTGGCTACACACTGAGGCCTGCGGTATAAATCCCACAGCCAGGCTTGGCTGAATATTTAACTTTTGGGTTTTGCCTTGTTAACATTTCTGTTTCGATAATAATAAACATATACAATGTAGTAATGCATAATTTGAGAAACATTTTTTGATGGATTCGAAGCGAAAATCTTTTTAATAGCTGCGGAAGACTAAAGCCAGATTCCGCCTCCTGTGTGACTTGGATTTTACCAACAATGTTATTATATATATATATTTTTTAGATCAACTGATTTCTCCCTAGACTTCGCTTCTTTACTGCTTCCAAAAGTTTTTTTTCCATAAAAAAACTCCCCAATCAGAATTGCCATTTTTTCTAGACAAATAAACAATCTAACTATCCGAAACGTCACTTCTGGTCTTGGTTATGAACATTATATTTTCCTAAGGTATGTTAATGGTGGTACATCATAATATGCATAGACACAGTGTTGTTAGGTTTTCTAATCCGTTTATTATTTTTTGGTAGCCTTACCTCGCTTATAGCCCTCGTAGCGGAGGTTTCAAAATATTTTACTTTTACAATTTTTTATATGTACTTTGTTAATGTCGTGGTTCTTAAGTATTGATGAACAGAAATGAAATTAGGAAAAAAAGATGAAATAAAAAGAATTGGTTAATCTGAAGGTAGATGACTCATGTGACTCTTAACTTAGTTTTAAACATTGGGGTTATTTGATTATTTGTTTCGAGCATTTAATCTTGTTACTTTGTATTTCCATTTCTCAGATTCAACACGACTTGTGGCACATTCTTTTAAAAAGGCTACGAATCTGTTCTAATAGAGCCGTTATACATTATCAAGACCAATATTGGTTAGTATATTTTTTATCATAAGTTCTTTTCAGTCGTATTGATGCTTTCTTTTTTTTTTTAGATTTTATTGTTCTCAACACTCAGTTGGAAAACCCCAACATAACTTCAATGGTGGCGTTAATAAAAGAAGGGGTTTTTATTTCTTGGTTGTTGTCACCACTTCGAAATAGTTTTCGGTGATGTTGGCAATGCCACGGTCGCACACACAATTTAGCACTTTTCACATCCTGTTTATTGCAGTGGCGAATAGCAAGACCATTATTTATATTTTTAAGGGATGCTTTATAAGCTAAAATTGTCTCAATATATCCTGTGACTAACAGATGTCTCTCGTTAAAATTGTCCTCTACAAGTTTCCTTTTTATGGCCTCTGGTAGCATAGTCTTAATCCTTCACCACAGCATTGATAAAGTATTAATCTGTTTGAAACTATTCAAAATATTCATTTAGATTATATATTTATTCTTAATCACCCTTAAATTCTGTCCGTTGTAATTAAAATACTTTATTGGTGTTATACCATATCCCGAAGTAATTTAGATAGAACTAGTTGGAAAATGGGGTATATTGCCCGATCCCGTTTTGGGTAGTTTGAGTGATTTCTGCGGCATTTGCAACTGAATCGAAATTATATTTAAAGTTAGTAGTAAGATTTTCGCATCAATCTCTTTCCAGGATATTGCCTGTTAAAGTCAGCGTTTTTGTACATCCACTTCATTTTTAATTTTCTGAAATTTGTTGTTTAAAGTTTGTAAGAGCCACCTAAGAACCTAGAAGAAAATAGACAATATAAATTCTGCTTCCTAAAAACATGTGTTTTCACTTTTTTTCTACAGAAGCAACGAAATTAGTTTAAGTAACGAATTCCGACACTTTGCATTAATTTCATTTTCCTAATGGTGGAATCTTTGCCTGGCCAAAATTAATCCGTGTCCTATATTGGGTGGCTTGTACCCGCAATCAGCCTGTTGAAATTGGCAACTCAGTTAAAAGTGTCAAAGTCAGCCGGGAAACAACCCTGCATTCCTACTCTAATTATAAATAAGTATGAAAATATTATTTCAAATTTCTCTTTCGTTCTCGAAGCCAAATACTCTTGACTTCACGTGCTGAAACTAAACCGGGAGGTCAATAGAAAGCTCACATAAAACAGATGTTTGCCGTTTGGTAACAATTTCCCATATCAGGTGGAGGACCAGCATAGCAGGAGCATCCTCTAAACTAAATGGCGCGAGTTTTTATGTGGGGGATTACCCTTAACAATTCCGCTCTCATTATTTCTAATTGTAAAAACAATAACAATAAGAGCTAAACTCTTGCTCACGCCAAAAAAATGTTTTTTTACACTCTTTGGGGGAGGGGTTTTCATCCTCATTCATTTTGCAGTCGACGATGCCAATAAGACAAAAAACATCACACATTTTAAATTACATACGTCATTTTATTATTTATATAAAATTAACTTTATATTAAAGTATTATTACAAAAACAAAACAACAAGAATATTTATATATGTATATGTATAATAACTGTGGAAGGATTGGGTAACTCGAAGTTACAAAAGAGAGGTGAATACGATTTAAGTATTAATAGAGACGAAGTCTGAAAGCGCCTTCAGAACTACTCTGAAAATATACAACTATCTAAAAATACGCAGCCACGTATTTTTTGTAAAAAAAAAGAAAAATTACTATCGCCTATAAATAAATACGAAGACGGAGGTTTGAAAAAGCGCGCTTTTTCGACACGTGTCCCACGAGAAAAGCTCCACATGAATGAATGTTAATAGAAGAGAAAAGAAAATAATTAATTACGGCATAATTAGGAGAATAGGAATATAAAAAAAATATTAAATAATAATTGGATGTGGCAGAATTGCTGCCACCACTGCGCGCAGTCTCGAACGAAACGAAAGAGTCTTAAAATACAATTAGAATTACTAGTCTACAAAAGATAACTATGTTAATACAAATGTTTTGGCAAAAGGTTGGGGGTTACGAAATGGTCGAACCGCTACCGGAACCGACACTTTGGAAAAGCTTTTCCATAATCGACATGAACGACTTGTATCGACGGAAATTGCACTGCTAGTCTCTAGAGCCGCGAATCCCAAAACCGAACGACCCGTTCACGTGCAAAGCAGGCCGGCTGCTCGCGAAGTGTGTGGCGCGGTCTTGTACCGCAACGGCGATTGGCATTTGAAAACGATGACCATGCCGAAAAACAGATACGTGACGGTGAGAAAGATTAGCATGGGAAAGGAAAATACAACGCGCGCCGTCAGAATTTTGGGTTGACTGGAGTCCAGCGTAGATGCGGCCCCATAAACTCCTGAAAACATATTGATAACATTAGTAGGCACTCGACTCGACCCATCAAACGACGGGAGTGGACTGACTCACCATTAACATGTTTCGATTCACACCGCTCACCCACATAGCCGTCGGCACATTCACACGAGAAGAAGCTATGATTTCCAATGGGATAGCTGAAGCACCGGCCCCCATTCAAACAGAACTCAGTTAAAAATTGGCCAGTGCACGGTATGGACAGGACATGGCTCATGATGCTGTAATAAAAATCCAAAACAGGATATCCGCTCTTTTCGCCAATCTTTTCTCTGGCAGACTCATCTGTGATAACCTCACCATGGACGGGTGGGGCTTTCAGGGTCTGATCGCTATTGACATCGAAAATTGGTGGAGGTCGATCAATGTGGGCGGATGTCTCTGTACCGGAACCATCGTTGGTCGACTGTTCGTCTCCAGAGGTCGATTCGTCGTCGCTGTTAATAGTTGTGTGATTTTTATTGAATACTTTCTCGCCCGATACGGCGCTTCCGCCGTAAACGTGCTGCTCATATTTTTCATTGGCCGGTTGCTGTTGGTCGTTGCCCTGTTGTTGGTATTGTTGCATTTTGTGTTGTTGGATTATATTAAAGGTCTGTTCCCTGAGGAATAATATTCGGCTAGAACAACAATCTGAAAATATGCGAAAATTTTATTAGCTTTTGCACTTTAGAAATTCTTGTGCATCGGTGGTGAATATAATCGGGATTTTTGTGGGTTGTCTTGGGAAGAAGTTTTGTCTCGCGTCTAATAGACAATTAAATCTTATGGCCATGTAACTTAAATTACAAAACAAGTAACCTCTAGTTATTATACAATCATCAATAGGCTTTAAACATACCATCCACGATTGGTAAAACTGAACAAATTTCCTCAGGCATAAATAACTCGAAGTCGACTTTTTCTTGTAGGATAATATTTTCATTTTGGATCATAAAGTTGTGGTCGAATTTAACAGCTTTTTGAAGCATCGCCCTTAAATTATGACTATTCGCTATAATCTATTTTTGTTACAGCAAATCCTATGACCTAACCACCACCAGCTAGCTGTTGAGCAAAAACTTATAGAATGAACTACCAGCAATTTTTTGGTCATCCCTGATTTTAGCCATTATGGTACGAAAATGTAGTCAGGCTTTTTAAATTTTTGTAAAATACTAGCTTCTTAGAGGTTTTGGAAAAGATCATATGTTTCTTACGACTTCCATTAAATTACTTTAGCGGTGATGACCGATTAACTTAATTGAATTAAAAGCATTAAAAGAAATAGGAAAGCCTTGAATCCTACATTATGTATGAGGATAATCAGTAGTTTATCGGTAGCGTTAAATTGGGGAAAGTTGTAAAAACTGAAACTTTTCTAGCTAGAAAAATATTGTTTAAATATTTATTTCCAATAATACCAGACCAAAAATGAAGAGTTGAGTAAATATAGCCAAAAAAAGACATCTCAAGCTTGCTGAAGGCATTTCTTTTTGGAAATGTAACTTTTGCACATGTAGAGACAATTCCCTCAATTCGAAGCGGTTAATTTTTGTTAATAAATTTATCGACTGAAAAAATGAATTGAACGAAATGCCACATTGGGAAAAAGCTGATCAAGACTTGTCGTCTTTTTTTGTGATTTGGTATTGATTTTTAATTTGGCCTCAGCCACCACATAGGAAATGTAAACTTGTGTTTCTATTCAAAATCATAAACATATGTTTCTGTTTGAGATCATTCGTGAAATTTGGCAGCATCGTCTGCTTTATTGAATCTTTCAATTTTACTTCCCCACCCTCCTACCCAGTGACATTTCTCCGTGCCCTTCCTTATCTTTCATTCACCTGTAACTGCGACAATTGTTGACAGCATGAAAATTATCCGCAGCAAATTGTTGGGAATTTGCATTCTGTCTGAATTGGGACGTAGACAATAGCACGCCACTAGCAGGGCTCCAGGTCCGCCGTAGTAGAGGTATTGTACTGACACTCAAAATGAAATGTTCGCGACACGTGTGTACACAATCATACTATAGGGAATACATATAACAACAGTCGGGCGTCGTAGTGGAGTTCACGGTGAGGCCGGGAGTAGGAGGTGTTCAGTTCTATTCATTCAGTTCATCCAGTTGGTCAATTAATGCCGCACATCTTTGTCAAGTGTCTTGCGCCCGTTCCTCCGAGTTCAGCAAAAAACGCTTGGGCTGTTCTTCAATAGCACATTTTAATATTCGAATACAAAGCTGACTATTTACGGACGGACGATTCACGACAGACGCTGAGGAATTTTTCTATATTGCCTTCAAAAATAGACAGACGCGCAAACAAACGAATTTCCACCGTTTCGGCTGCTTTTAGAACTTTATCAATGATCGAACGATATGAGACTGCGGTGACACTTTGCAGTTGCCAAAATGTGGAGCAGGCGCCAAATTAGAATGCCGAGCGAGAGAAAGGAGAGTGGCGAGAGAAGAGAGGTGCCAATGGCCCCAGTGAAAACAACACAAACAAGAACCCAATGAGGAGGGGGGGAGGGCGAGAAGAGACCGTTAATATGTGTACAATTTGAGTCGAAACTGTTCTAAAAATGTTCAAAATGCATTTTCTCGCCATTCATTAAATGTCAAATGGAATTTGTTTTCTGTTTTCTTTTTTCTTTTTGTTAGAAAAGACCCAATATGATTCTTCTAGTTTATTATACACTGTTCAAAATTTTTGCGAAGATGAGTCTTTAACCCAGTCGTGTGCACAAGCATCCACTGGTTTCGCTGTCCGAAAAAGAGATAACTTAAGAGAAAACAAAAAAACAAATCTATAATTATTTATATTTAACGATTTATTTCAATGGTTTTTTATTATGAATGTTGCCCAGGACTATATATGAAGCGTTTTGATACAAAAATTGTATAAATAATGTTTTAACACTTATTTGTTGATGATTTAAAGGAAAGTAATAGACATGAGACTGGCGAGAGAACTCTTGTTCTTCAACAGACCTGCCTTAACCGCAACTTTCCTCTATAATTAATATAAATATAAAATAAAAATGGGATTTTTTTTGCAAAAATTGTGTTTAACAACGTTATCTAAAATTCGACGCACTCAGGCGACGTTTTTTCACCACACAAGTAAAACAAATGTATTATATGAAAGCTATTTGTTGAAAATATAAATTAATAATACAAAAATGTGAATGTTTGTAATTGGAAAATATTTCAATGGGGGGTGAATTTGATTAAGTATCAATTTTTAAAACGTTATTGTTAGATTTTATGATATGGACATGACGTATTTGGGTAATACGTACGTACACAACATTTTTCCATTTTGAATATTTGTGTACGCTACACCGAATTTTAGGTAACGCTGTATAACAATAAAAAACTGAAAAAGTTTATGTGAGTTTTCGATAGATTTTTGGTCTGTTGTATGTAATTATTGTTCTGTTCCACAACTTTGAACTACAAATTGGTTGAAAAGCCATCTGGAGATAAACCAGTTCTGGTTACTTAAGTGGTTCATCACCAAATGACTTTGCAGCCAATTTGTAGTTAGTTGTAGAATAATGCATTAAAACCGGTTGAGAAAAGTCCCGCAGGGTATTTACAATTACTTGCTTTGTCGATTTATTCAACCAGTCCTTTTATTTTTGTGAACAAAATTCAGGTCTCATTTCTTTTCAAATGAGATAATATGTGGCACGACCTGAGGTGTAAGGACGAAAGCTATGAAAACTGTGTTAAACTTTGCACAATCCCCCGATACACACGAGCATTTGCTACTTAAAGCTCTGACTAATATGCAGAGTGAGGGACATCACTTACTGTTTATTTAAATAGATTAAAACATCTAATAAGGATATTCGAACGGTTCTTTTCAGGCAACATATTTTTAAACGTTCGTAATTATAAGGTACCTACATCTGCACTCACAGGGCGAAGTGGATATGTAGATGGTGGGAACAACACCTTTCGTATTCAATTGTCAACTCCCACTAAATGTTCAAGCTCTGCTTCTTCTAATAAGCTCCTTTAAGATTCCCAGATAATTAGAAAAGAATTCGTAATTGTAATATCATGTTGTAGGTTTAAATGATTTTCCCAAATTTTTTTCATACATTTCCGTAGCTTGATCGATGTAATATGCAATGACGAAAATGGGGCATTGGCATCACCGGTTTCCATCCCTTCAAGTGGTATTTTGTCAACAAAAGTATTTTCTCTTCATTTCCTTTCTCTTCCTATTTGAATTCTCTTATTCACCCCGGTTATTTAAAAAAAAATGTTACACCGAAGATGAGTTCGCCTGACAACAGGAGAATCCATAGACCTGTAATAACTACAGCATGCATCATCAACTGCAACCACTGCACTTTTAACGACAAATCTCGAATGAAGTTTTGGATTTACTACCGCTTTGCTTTTGTGTTAATATTTAATTGGGGAACCCTCGTAAAATGCCCTCACAAGCCATGACTATCCAGTCGGCCAAATTATATTTGCTTGTGATGCCTGGCAAGTAATCTAATGATTCTCCAAGTCTAGCAGAAATAATGAATTGTCAAATAAAAACTGTTCTTCGTTGATTACCCCGCTATCCGCACTTACATTTGCATGTATGTATGCGGGTAAGTAATTTACATCTACACTTTTTTATAAACGTACATACAAATCTACAATGAGCGTACGTACGGGTGTACATTTGTAAAAAGGTTCGCACAAAGAATTTTACAAAATTACGCTCGGCAACAGCATCAAACCAACGCAAACTATGTTCGACGATGATGGTTTGCTTAACGGCAAGGAACACACACACAACCTTCACTACAAAGTGACACAGTCACACCTGCACGGGGATGCCTGTCCATTGGCATAAAAAAGTTCACAGTGGAGAGTGATTTCGTAAAGAGCGGTGAGAGTACACACAATTAGCAGACCAAGGTTGCCAATATGACTTTTCGAAAAATGTTGCTGGGAAATAAAATACTAGAAATTCACAAGTCGCAATTACATTTTTATGGTAAATGATTGAAAATATTTTTTTGTTAAATATTTTAAATATTTATATTTATTATTGGTAAACTGGTAAACATTACCATCGTTCTCCACTAATAAACAAACGTTGTTTTTATAAAAACAGCAATTAAGGGATTATGCCTGACCATTTTGCAACAACAAAATACTATGGTATCCCGAACAAACTAGCCAACACTGTTCTATTTTCAATATTTCTTTAAAATTTATCGGTAATCTATGCAACTACATGCATAAAAGTCTTTGAATTATTATCAGAATTAAATATTAAATTTCATAATCAAATTGTATATCATTACAGTTACTCTAGAGGTCTTGCTCTGGAGGAACTGGCAAGCGGAAATAAAAAAAATATTGAAGAAGTACCTTTACAGGTTAAACAATTTCTCAAGTTATCAAAATTACAATAAATTTGGTTGTAAATTGTGGTTTCCTCCACAAATACTTGAATCGGCTAACTTTGAAACTATTTATTAATAAATAACAAGCAAACAAAGTCATTGCCAAATAATATTACCAACACTCATAAAGTCGTTTTACTTGAACTTACAATATTACGATTGTTAGTTGAGTACACGGCACCAAATGGTCCCACATGTGTGGAAAGGTGTGACAAGAATGTTTGTATTCAAATAATCGATTCGATATTCTTAGAAAAGCTTCACAATGAGTAAAAATGTTACAACAAAATGTTGTTAAATGTTAAAATGTTACCGAAAATTGTGAAGATGGGTCCAGGTTTAGTCATAGTCCCTATATAACGGTAACCTCCAATTTAAAAAAAAAATTGAAGATTTTGAATATATTTTTCATTGAAATTAACATGATGTCCTTGCAAAATAATGTTAATATCGGTCCACAACTAGATGTTTGGGATAGGGTAACAAATTGATGTGCCGAAATCTGTCAACGTTGGACATGTTTTTGACATACATCCACGATTTAAGCGATTTTCAACCGATTTTGATGAAATTTGATATTTTGGGCTCCGATTACTGACTATACTTCAATGAGTGAGATACTCTTCCTTGGCTTGCCAAATGCGGTTTTAAGATTCAAATATATTATTGGAGTAATACAATTTCTTATCTTAAAATAATATTTGTAGCACTATAATTAACATTTCTTACATTCCGATTTTTTATTTTTGTCAAGGTTAGTGATCACTGTGCACAGTTACGAATATAAATGGTTGTTTAACGATGTGTATTTGCATCGGCAAACTATTTGTATGTTCTTATTATTTTTTGCATGTTCCTGGCGCCAAGATTCGAGTCAGCGACTTTAAAATTTAGTTGGACGTGCACACTTTTTGCCGCAGTTTCACTATTTTTTAAGCTACTTGTAATGGACAGAGCATTTTTTTGACTAAAAGTCATACCATTTCAAAATTCTGACAACAAATGTCCAAAAATAATGCCACAGCTGTCTTGATCAAGGTAATTGGAGTTAATTGTTCTACATTACTAACATTACGGCTATATATTATCTGATTACATCAAATAAATCACCAATTTCTCCCGTGTTTTTGTTGGGGGCAACTCTGTACCGAGGCAAATAAAGCAGTGAAACGTGCAACTTTTAGAGAGAGAGCTGCTGCTGCTATGCCCTGCTCTCTGCCACACATACTGCGAACCACAGTATAAGCCGGTTTGGGCCTTCATAAGTGGGCAACTGCTGTGTGAATGTTTGTGGCTTTTGCATGTACATACCCACTTTGCCACACCGCCTGCGTACGCCAAACAACAAAAACAATAGCACTTCTATTTTTCTCTCTTCTGTTCGTCCATTCATCCTCTCAGCAAATCTCTGCTGCAGCAAATTTGTTCAATGCACGGTTACCACGCCAATGCAAAATAAACCGATCAAACTAAAATTTGTGGGCCATTTTTATTATTTTTTTTTAAATAATTATCGTTTCCTCATGAAATTTGAAAAATATTATAATCTTAAAGCTTTTTCGGATGCTAGTAAATATTTTACGTACTAATATTGAAAACATATTGGTTGGTAATGAGAAAAGTGAGATGACATATTAGTCGGGTACGATAAGTTGCAACATCGATTTTTTTAATGTTTCTCTAATTTTTTATTAAAAATGCTTAATTTGAATGAAACCGTTTTACCCTCTCAAACGGAATTTGCTGGACAAATTCTTGCAGGAAACTTACCTAAACAAAATAAATTACCTCGTTAGCAACTCCAGAAAAATGTTACCAATTTTTGGTAGAATTCTACCAACTGTGGCAACCGTGGTTCAGTCTTCACAGGTTCGTTTCACAGTGTTGTGTTACAGTGTTGTTCCAAACATCGTCGCGTGCGGTTGTGGTGTCGCGTGATATTGTTTCTCATCCCCCGCAAAGCCCCAATTTACACAGTCTCATGAAGGGGAGAACCTCAAAATTCTTCAGTTTAAATGTGTTTAAGTTCGCCGCAAGAAAAGCTATTTAATGACCACAAAAAAAGAAGAAGAAATGAAACGTGAAGTGTAAGAAAGAATTTGCAAGAAAAGAATAAATGTGCAAAAGAAGAAACCAAGTGATTTGCTTGCAATTTGATGTAAGGTCCTTATTAAATTACCCGTGTTTCGTGTGCTCTTGTCGCGCTATTTCACCCAATAAATAAATGGCAAATGCCCTCAGGTCATACACATTGGATTAACGAACGCGGAGAAGAGCTGGGTGTTTGACAACAACAGCAATAACAGCAAACTCAAACCAGAAACGAAAGGTGAAAAAGCAGACAAACAATTTCAGCTGTAACCTAACAAAAGCTGGGGTAAGAGATGGGGGGTCAGGGGAGGTTTTTCGCGAACACAGCGGATGCTTGCTTCATGGTGTTTTTTTTTTGTTTGTTTCGATTTTAAAATTCGCACATAATTCTTAAATCATAGATTGTTCGAAGAGAACGTGACCACTGATGTTATTTTTTTTCGGGGCATAGTGGGGAACGGGATATGGCTGGCTAGCAAGAAAACCAAGAAATAAATCCCCAACAACAGTTTTGTGTTGCGTCTACTCAATAAATACTTCAATAAAACAAGAAGTAGCAGAAAAGAGGAGAATTAATACAACCCAGTGAAACAGTGATGTCAACTACGCCATTTTCCACCATTTGTGCGTATGGAGGTTGCTAACCGAAATGCACTACAAATGTTTTGTTTCTGTCGGTGGGATACAAATTATCTTGATGGAAGAAATAGCGGAGGCTAAAATATTGAGGAATTTATGCGATGCCGATTAATATAACCTTGTAGGTTATATTCTCCAGCATATTATTCTCCTAACATATTATCGATTTTTTTTATTAGTCTTTTACCGGACTAATCTGTATAAAAATATCCAATTTTTGGAGAAACTGAAGTAAACTAATTTTAAAAGAGATAAAAATATCGAAAGAATAGTTTCCTTAGAATCATATCTGTACTCGCAATGAATTTTAACATTATTCCCGTAAACTTAAATTATTTGTGAATATACAAGAAATGTAACCATGCGAGATGAGCCCCGGCTGATATGTTCATCCTTGCTAAGAATATTTCGGGAATTGATGCTAAAACTAGATTATTTAGTGTGGTCGGACGAAACGACGTTTTTACGTTTTGCTGTTTTATTGTGTCATTCCAAACGGCTAGTAAATAAAAATGTGGAAATGGTCAAAGGACAATTATTACTATTGTAAAAACGTTTTTTATTATTGTGTCCGAGTTTTTTAACGCTTGTTTGGCATCATTGAAACCTCACCTTCTCTCTTCGCTTACTTTGTACTCGACATCTCCTCACCCCTCTCTGTAAGAATCAAGTTAAAGAGCGGCAATAATGAAATCATCAATCATTTCCATCCCAGCGCAGTATTGTTTACAATTCGCAAGAGGTGGAGAGTGTTTCCTTTGTTTATTACGCCAGCAATGAAACGATAAAATATGGATAGACGGATGCAGATGTGCTTCCCTTTAGTCATTGAAGATTGTCATTCTTCAAACAAATCAGATTTTTCAAGAATGTTGGAGTATTTTTTTTAATTCTGACATTTTTCTACATCAAGCATTACTTTAAGGTTCGTAGATGTGGTCGCTATTCCTTTTCGATTTTAATCGCTCGTTTAAATTTTCTTGAGATGTTAAAATCTTTCAACGCGACCGATAGTAAAGGTTAATATTTTTGTAGTATTTACATCTATGTGCCACTTGTTTTTATTAATCGAATCGCCGGCACAAAGAGAATATCAAGACAATTGAAAACCTACTAAACTATTTCGAAATACGTTCTATGACAACAACTATCACTTTGTCGTCATAGGCCAACCAGCGCACATACACACTCTCACCTCCACGCCACGACCGGGCAAACTGTGAGTCAAGCATCTGGAACGAAGCCAAAGTAATGGCCTCCATTACTAGAATACCTACCGCAAATGATCCTAAGGAAGAGATGCCAACTGAATCAAGTAAATGCATCTGCGAAACACCGAATGCGTAGCCGAAACGATGGAGAGATGTACGAATTTATGTATTGGAAGTCTGCATCTCTGCTAACAACAGACGCAGGCACAAATTTATGCATTTGGTATCTCATTTTTCAGAATCCTAATGGACTCGGGAAGGCAATTCGATTCCTGACAGATGTGAGCACTTAAGCACCCCACCGCACCACACCACACCACACCATACCATACATACAATGTTTGTTCTCTTCCGTGAAAGTTGCCACTCGCCGAGCACTGGCACAGCTGACTTGTACAGCTTCTGAAATGCTCCAGATGCACCATGGTATAGATATCTAAGTAAATAAGCTTGCGGGTATGCCTCTGCTTTGCCCACATTCTGGCGAAAGAGAACAGTGGGAAATGTCATGCAGCTCTCCAATGGTGGGGGTTGTTTGGCAGTTCGGAGAAACAATTGCAGCGAACAAACACACGTGTTGCCCGAATTCGGAGTTTGCGCAATCCAGTCCAGCGCGATGCCTATTCACTACTTGTGCATTCATGTACATTTAACCTTCACATTCTAACAGCTGTTTTGGACATTTTAACAGCAGTACTCTGCACAGACGTACGTCCCGGGTACTAGTTGGATTTTTTGCAACATCTAAAAAGTAAATTGGGAGCGCTCATCCCATCCATGTACACACGTATGGCCCACCTCCCAACCTCAGTAAATGTTGTTCATAGGTGCTGCTCGGTCAGCTGTTTGTGATGCGGTGCTAATATTGGCTGTTGCCTAGGGGAACTCCTGTTAATTCCGTAGAAGTCAGTTTGCACCGAGCCATCGTTGGTAGCTCACCATGGACTTTGTATCAGTGGCTGCGAAGTAGGTGAAACGTGCAGTATTTGTGGCTCATGGAGAGCGGGGTAATAAAAATAATACAATAAACTATCCTGTGTCTCTTCCCGTTGAAAAATCTCGCGTGCGGATGAGTGTGCAGGCGATGCGATATGTAGTTGTTTTTTGTTCATTAAGAAGTTAAGAACTATTTTAAGTTTAGAAAATATTTATCACTAACTGGATTTAGGAATGTAAAATAATTAGTTTTAGAATAGATAACTACGTCCTGCTTAGTATGAACATATTAAATATGTAGTATGTATAAAGGAGATTAATTGGATAGATTCTAGACATTTCCTAACTTTGCATCACAGCTATACCATGTTTTACTTAAGCCTCATTTCGGAAAGAATGATGACTGCTTATCAGAGTATTCGACATAAATAATGTTGTCGTTGTTTTATTCCAGTGAACAATCTCTTGTGATATAGTCGGAAAAGTAGGAAAACTTCGATTTTATACTGACACAACAGTTATAAGAAACCGTTTATGTTTCAAGTGATATGTAAATTTTCGCGCTTTGAAGAAAAAACAGCCACAAAAAAAAAAAAAAAAAAAAAAAAACAAAAATAAAAACCGCTTTTGTAAATAGTGAAAATAGAATGATGTGAAAACCTATTACGAAGAAGGCGAAAGTCGAATGTATATATTTTTTTAAATGAAATCCTCAAAATATCTGTGAAAATATAGAAAACTTAAGTGAAACCCAAACAAATCAATCGCCATGTGAGTGCTGACGAAATGAATGTTCAAAAATCGCATTTTATGGCAGCTGAGAACATTGAAGTTAGGCACAAATTCATTGAACCATTTCCACACACCCTCAACTGTTTCATTTATTTTGGAAAATAAAAGTATCCATTACAGGACGCTTAAAGGTATGTACCGAAATTGATAATACGTATGTTTGTATAGAATTTACATACACTATCACAAATAAATCGAATGAATATACAGTTGAATATACAGTCTGCAGTTCATATAGTTGCAGACATACACTGGAAATCCTATGTAAATTAAACCTATTTCGAATGCAATTATTTTTTTTAATCGAAAACAAAGGATTTAATTATGAACAGTTTCAAAGAAAACAAGGAATGCACAATCCACGATTATAATGGTCACCTATAGAAAGGAAAGGAATGTTATTAGATAATTGCTAATCCCTACTGCTTTAACTCAAATGTCAAATTTGTATGGAATTCCATTTGACGTTTTGTCTCTTTAAGAAGTTACCCAGAAGAAAATTATGCCTATAAAATACTCACACAAGAATATCTTTTATTTAAAATCTTGAGGAAACTACAACTTTAGTAAGATCATAAGATCGGATAGTATTCATAATTTGAACAAGACTTTTATACCCTCAGTCATATGGGGGAAGTGGGTATGTATCATTTGATACGGCAAAAATGGGCCCTACCCTAGGTCTCTTTGAACCAAATCCGTTTCAGGACATTTGGAGTCGATCTAGCGATGTCCGTCCGTCGAAGGGAGTATTCGATTTGGTCCAAACATGGCACAACGTAATATTATAATCAAACTTAGATCGATTTCGGAAAAGGACAATATCGGTCCACTCCTTCTGGTACCTCTCCCACAAAAGGTCGAAAATTTCAAAAAAAGTGCACAGAAAGAGAAAGCATGATCCGATTTTACTCCATCTTAGCAAATCCTAATATTTCCATCACTGCTACGTCAGGTGCCAAATGGACAATATCGGTCCACTCCATCAAGTACCTCCCCCAGAGGGTCAAAACTTTGAATAATTATAACTTTTATATATAGTAATTATATAATTATAACTGTTATGTGACGCATTATTTCAAATTCCGATTATCTTCAAATTACACACACCACAATATTTTTTACTAACACATGATCTGGTGTGAAGATGGAAAATATCGGTCCACTCCAACTGGTACCTCCTCCACAAAAATATCAACATTTTTAACATCGATGAAGCCCTTCAAACGCGAAATTAACATCCGATTCCATTCAGACTTGGCACATCTCAATGTTTCTACCAGCATAAGATCTGTTATAAAGATGGAAGATATCGTACCAATTTTTCTGGCACCTCCCTCTCATGATGATGATATATATCTGCGAATATCTTCTGGTAGACGTTTTAGTTGTATCTGTCATAACTTTTGAAACAAGTCAGCGATTCTTTACATCTTGCTATGTCTAAATATTTCTCTCAGCCAGAAATCCGAACTAAATATGAAATTTATGATTTCGCTTAAAATTGGATATAAATGTTCGATTTTCTGGTAATTTTGCCCATACCAATATTTTTATCTGTATTAGATGAAGAATGAAAATGGAATACTTCGGTCGACTATATCTGATATCTCAGGCACATTTTAATATTTTCTAAAAGTGATCACATATCTCATATAAAGAAGTATAGTCCAAACTTGACACGTCGAGATATTTATTATTATATTTTAATTAGGTCCGATACGAAATGGACAATATTGGCCCATTACTTCGGAACCTACTTCATATAGGGTCAAAAATTTGAAAAATGATAACAGAAGTAAAAATGTATTTAAATAATCGAACATTGGCTGAGGGTATAAAATTTATAGATACATTTCAAATTTATAGATTTACTGAAATGAAGAAACAAATAAAGGGTGTCTCAACTAGAATGCAATCGTGAAATCAGAAATCGGCTTGGTGAAAAGATGTTTTTTCTAGCCTAGAATTGAAGAAATTAATGTGCAGGGCATGAGAAAAAATTCAAGCTGCATCACCTTTTTCCCGGCCGTGTTATTTTATGTTTTTGAAACCAGAGTCGGCCGCTAGATCGTCCGATTTATTTTTTCTTTGGATATTTTGATGGCCTACGCAAATAAGCCGACAAAGACTCAAGCCTTAATGAAATACCGCAGCGTTTATGCAAAATCTTCAAGTTTTTTTAATCTCTGTTTTTTAATTAAAAAATTGAGTTCTATTTGGACACCCTTTATATATATACCGCATTACCGATAAAAACCCCGGTGCACCGATAAATGCATTCCAGGTGTAATTAAAAATTATATAAGAATAAAATCAGCCGCTAAAAAATCACATAGCTGTATTACACAATAGATTGTTGTTTTGTATTTGTTTCATTTTTTTTGTCGTAGCTATGTATGTATGTCATCGACCAAAGATAGACGATTTTCAAATGCAACACCGCACATGCACACATGATTATTTAATATTCCACCATAACCGAAAGTTATTCCATTATTTTCGTTATGAGAAAATCTCACTTAATTTTCCCACTATTCATTTGAAATATTGGAACTCTCGAAGAAGAAGATGAAGGAGAACAACAACAATAACACCGTCTACTCGACGTACATTTTCACAAAGTAATTAAAAAGATCACCGCCTCTGTTGGCACCCCTTGGCTTCTGTCTTTCCGCACTTCGGTTGAGGGGAGTGGTGAACAAAAGGCCTTTGTTTTCGTGCCATAGTCGTACCTTCTGGTGTATAAATAATTTATGTAATAATATTCGCCATTTATGTGGGAGAATCCTACGACTCGTTCGATAGTACATCACATTGCACCACAAATATATCACTGACATACTTCCATTTTCGCATTCGCATACGAAACCTCCGCAGATTGTTTGTCGGTTGGTTTGTCTGTCATTATAGTGAATAAAGTATTTATAAACGGATTGAAATGTCTAGGTGTATGTGTAATTATTCTAGGAATATCAAATGATACAAATGGAAATTAATACACTGGGAAGGGGAAGAGATTACAGTTCTAAGAAGACAAGCTAAGAAAAAGGACGATGACCCCATCGGACGATTTGAAATCTCGATTTTTTGTATAAGTCCACGGAAATGAAACGAAAGTTGAGGGATTTATTTTCTAATTTTTTTACAGATCTCCCCCTTAAAATCGGCATAAATTGCACAATTCCCACAAACATACATTTTGGTTGGGCGATTCTATGAGTTTAACTATGAATATGTCCTTTTCATACCTTCATGAAAGGTATGCTATAAATAGGCCCATGTAACGGCACCACCATAACAATGTTTTGCAATAGATTTGACTAAAAGTTGGTATTTAGGGTTCTCTCTGAGTACGTCATATCTGTACAAAAATTTCGATATCAGGTCACGTTTTGTTCTCAGTTATTAGCCCTGTATGGTTTAATGTATTTCAAGAATATGGGCTAATCTTTTTATTTGTACGAACTTTTTAAAATTGGTTCATGTTGTGGTATGGTGTTTAACTGTTTAACTAAGCTTTCGGGGAATTTGGACAGTTTTAAATACTTGTTTCGTTATTTTGAATTTTGACTTAATATTTTTTTACGAAAATAACAAATAGTTTCCTTATAAAATTACTCATTAGACATTTCTTTCCTTTAAAAAAGAGTTTTTTTTTCACATTTTCATAGAATCAGAATTTGGGCCTCAGTATGGTTATGTGTTCGGAACCTGGATTTTCCACATCGACTTTTGGCTTTGTGTCAACGATTGGTGCTTCTGTAGCTGTAGCAGCGTCCACCACTCGACTCTTAATGAATTACAATCATAAATTACTCAAGTATCTGTCAAAAACTTGTGCCAAAATGATGACATGCAAAACATTAAATATAAAACAACTTTGTTTTGTTGTTGTTGTTGCTAGTTGTTACATGTCTGCGCCTGCTGTGTTGGCGTGATGGTTTGAGCCTGAAGTTTGGGTTTGAATAACCAATAAAAAGTAGAAGTTGTGAAAAAATTATACTGGTAATGTAAGACAAACAAAGTCAAAAGATACGAAAACAGACACAAACACACATACATCCACAAAATAGCTTCACAACCAAGAAGAGACGGGGGGAACTGTTTTAGACTGGCTTGTATGAAAGAGATTCGCACACAGGGAAACACTCTTAAAATGTCATAGTTAAGGTTTGAGTTTGCTTTTTTCGTTTGGATGGCAAAAAGACAAACCATAGAGGCCTGTCAAAAACACGCCGAAGGAAAAAACAGCTTCCACTAGTCCCAGTATGTAAACTTTTCGGTCAACAAGAAATCTAGAGGATGACAAGAGGGAACGATGGAACTTGTTTTCAATCTTCGTGCTGTAAAGTGTTTTCCTGAAACTGGATACTGGTTCTTCGACAGGATATATTTCACATTTTTATATGTATGTCAAGTTGCACCGAGAATCCCAACTAGAATTGTGGGTACACTTGTCAATTGACATAGGCTGTACAGTTTTGGGGGTGGATGTAAACGTTAAGATACCCTACAACATTACATCTGGCCTTGAATCCACTGCAGATAGACAGTACATTGGACGCATTAAATCAAGTATGTATTAAAAAAAAAAAACAAGACAATAATGGATTCTTTGACATTTCTGCAGGGCTAGAAAGTAAAATCAATCAAATGTTGGATGTTGAAAATTCACTAGATATATATTTCGAGAGCTAGTCGACTACACATGGATTCATGCTTCATTTTTATTAAAATTTTGTTTGTTTAACCCTAAACTGTAGAAAACACCCGACGACTTGGCCTTTCGTAAATTCTAAAATAATAGGCTTGGTGTGTTTTTTTTTTTGTTGCGGACAACATCGCAACATACAATAATAGAGCCCCATTGTTCCATTTCAGGCAAAATACACAATTAAAATTTTTGATTGCTCCATAAAATTGCAGATGCCACCACATTGACTAAACCGCAAAACTTAGCCACCGAAACTCCGAAAAGTGAGGCACACAGTCGAATGTGTGGCGGGATAGACTGCGTTTCGCCAGATAGACATTGGCCATAAAAACTGAGGTCTGACGAACTGAAATAAAAGCAGAAAGCTTTGCAATCGTAAAAGCACTTTGTTATGCATATTCGATGTTAATTCGA